AGTATTCTTAAAAGTCTTAAAAGTTGTGAGTTATAATTTTTTATTTGTTGCATGTCCACAGAGCCAAAAAAAACTATTTCAATTTTAAATTTATCACATTTAAAAAGATGAAATGTATCTTTAAGATTTAATTGCATAGTTTTAGGGACGTAAAATTCATTACTTAAATTAAGCACTCTTAGAATTATTTAAACAGTTTTCAAAAATAATTCAATTTTGCATTTTTATATTATAACTATACTTATTTATACTATACATTTAAATTATATATTAATTTCACAAAAAAAAAAAACATAAATATAAAAATAAACAGAAACGAAATAATGAAATAATCAATATCTAATCTTTTTTTTTAATAAATGTTACTAAACTCTTTTGCAACATTAATTGCTTTAAAAACTTTTCTACCTCCTTTAAATATATTAAACGAAATTGAAGATTTAATGAATATTCCAAATATAAGACCTATTCGTTGGTTGGTGTTTCAGATATTCAAATTTTTCTAAAAAAAATACTTGAACAATTTCATTTATGAAGGCGAAGATAAAGTAACAGAACTAATGAAGAATTTAGTAGTAAATACATTATTGTAAATGTAAATAATAATAAAAACATGAAAAAAAATATTTTCCAAGCAATAAAAAAAGCTAACATAAAACCCAAATTGAAAAGGCTAATGGTATTTTGTTTTAAATTTTTATAAATCAAAAATAAATAAAATCGTTTGTAATAGTTTTATAATAAAATAAAAAATTAAAAAAAATAAAAATAATATAAAAAATTATTTTTAACCAGACATTTTACAGAATTTTTGCCACCTTATCAGGGAAATAATATTTGTTTAATACTATAATTTAGAAAAATGTATTAAAAATATGATTAAAACGTATCAACCAAAAATTTTTTTGTCAAAAAGAGTTATATATATGTATATGTGACATTTTGTCTTGTTTTTCAGTATCTTTTTTTTAAATTAAATTAATTTAAAATTTTGGAAATAGTTATTTTAAGCTATTAAATAAGAAATAATATACTTTCTATTTGAAGCTATATTAACATAATCCATACTTTATTAAATTGTTAGCGTTATTCACGAGTTTGAGTAACGTACTTGGTAATCGAGTAATGTATTAAATCTGCAACGCAGCAACAACAAAGTAGTTAATAAAGCATTTGATTTCACTAACATTAATATATATATGTGTATGTACACATATATATAACAATATATATATAGCTCAGTGCTATCTATACATAATATTTACTTTAATATAATTTGAAGATAATTAATAAGTATTTTATATAGATATCGTATACGTATATAAATGTTTACGGATAAATATATATACCCGTATATTTTTTAGTATTAGCAATATAGCTATATATATAAAATATATATAAAATCAAATAATGATAGTAATACTGTATTAAAAAACGAAGTCTTCCGCCAATAAATATTGAATTGGTCTTCATCCTAAAGTTTATATTCAAAATTCAGAGGTAATATCGTAAGTAATAGACAATGTCAAAAATTTATTTTATAAAAATAAATAGTTTTATTTTGATATTCGTCAAACAGATAGCACACGACTTTTTTAAAAGACGAATAGGCCTGAATAGATCAAATTTCAAAAAAATATGTTCATCCTATCATATCACACGACCCCGTGTTTTTATATCCATAACATGCGTTGTAGGCAGAATTGTAACTTCATCCATTCTGTATAAAGGCAGTACGAAAAAAATGAAATATTTTTTGAATAAAATGAAATAAAATGCATAAAAAATACTTTATGAAATGAAGTAAGAAGTATAGAATTTGCTTTTCTTGATTATTTTCGCATGTCGTCCATGTTGTCTGTACTACTGTATGTTCACCTGCTATAGATATCTAGTCTTATTTTGTTTCCACATCACATCTCGACAAACATAGCAGTAACTAAATTTCAAAATCGAAGGGTGGAGTCTCCACTACTGTTTTAATGTACTTTTAGGTCAGAAAGTGTCTTTGGTGGATCGCCATATTTCATTCAAGAGCGATTTCTACTGCAGCATAAAATAAATAATTTCTTATCTTTAATCGGTGTACAATACGAGCCGTGATTATGGGTTACTGTTTTGTAAGATGATTGGTATCATATAGGTTGCATATTTCCTGGAAGGAACCTTTTGTTTTTTGCGTTTGTAGATACTGTTGTCAAACTCCTGGAGTTTACTGCCTTAGCTAGTTTTACATTTGTAAAGAAGTTATCTAAAACTTTTATAGAAGCTGTCTAGATCTAATATTGTTAGTTTAATTATTTTTAGCTCTATTCATTTTCTAATAAGGTACAATACTATTTTTGCCATCTGGAAACGTTGTAAAAATACACCGCTGTTCCAATATTTATAACGTTTGTAATTAGTAGTTAAGGTGAAAAAGTAAAGGTCTGGTGAAATTATTTATAATCCTTATCCTAAAAGTACGTGTCTTTAATAAGGTTTTCAAAAAAAGAACACATCTCTTTTGTGATGTGTTGTGTTGTTTATTTAATAAAATTACTAAAGTCAACAAGGAAGTTTACCACAAATGAGCAATTCTATCGTTTCCTAATGCTACCACAACTGAATGGGGGAATTGTCGGAAAACAATAACAAAAATATTTATTAATTGAAAACGGCACTGAATCGCTCGCTACTTCTTCCCTTTTTATGTTTATGGAGCTCAAGTCAATTTTCATAAATTCAAATAAAATAAAAGCAGGGGAAGGCCAGCGACGAAATCAAAAAGTCATCATAACATAATGAATTCAATAATTCCGCTGGGATATGGCAACAGTTTGGATGAGGACATGGATTGGTTTGTGTGAATTATTTTCATTATTTTGTAGTTTTGTTGTGTAAAGGCGAAGAGACCTCAGGACCAAACAACAGAACAAACAAAACAAGCGAAAAATAGAAAAAAAATAACTACCAAATAAAAATGTAAATAAATTTAGTTTTATGATGAAAAAAGAAATTAAGAAAATCATTTTATGTTTTAATAAAATTCAAAAAAAGTACCAAAAAAATTTAAAAACTTTATGGTACAAATACAATGAAAAGGCGATGAAAAGGCAGAGAATAAGAGCAGAACAGGACTGTTCTGTAAGAATTGGGTTTAAGAGATATACTCGTAACATTGTGCATTGTGTATCTAATTAAATATTTTGTTTGAAAATTATTATATTATTGCTAAAAGGATTTATAAGGACATGCAAACAACCGCAGTCTCAGTTAAATTGGTCAATCTGGTTAAATAATTTGTTTAGTAGACATTGAAAAATATCTGCTATGCTTTTATTATCCATTTTGCTAAGTCAACAAATTTACAGGCTTTGATGTGTTTTTAAGCATTCGGATACAAATTTAAATAAATGCGTGTCGTGAATTTATTTGGATTGTGCTAAGAAGTCCTTTCATTGCAGAAGTACCGAGTAGAAAAAGAAAGGACACGTACAAAAAATCGTTGTCCATTAGTACTTTCACAAGTTGCTTAGTAGCGAAAATATATGGTCAGGATACTTAGAGAAAGTGGGGACTGCTTATTAATGTGCCAGTGCCGTTGCAACGAATTGAATCCAGTTAATATACACTCGTACAATTATTGCCATCTGGCTTAGTTGACAGCAATTCCCCAAACAGACCAAGATCCTACTGAATGTCAAAAACATTACAAGCAAAAAAAAAGACAAAAATAAATAAATCGGTTGCCTGCTTAGACATTGATTTGTACAAATTTACTTTAATGCTAAATTGTAGCCATTCAAATGCGTATCCTTTTTATTACACTTATTTAGATTTTTATACATTTAATATGGACTTAAACTCATTATGTTTTGTTTACAAATATCTAGCTATAAATGACTTCTAGTTAGGCAGCCTACAAATTTAAGGAACTTCTTATTGAAATTTATTGTGGTTTTTAATAGAAGTATCTAAATTTATAAAGACATTTACATTTATATGGGTAATATATCACATTCTAAGTTAGATGATCATTATAACATTTTTTAACCTGTTTGAGTTTAAGACAATTAAAGGATAATTATTCGAAGCAATTAAGTGTTGATTCTATTATTTTTTTTCTGGCAAAACGTAGATACCATAGTGAAAAAATTGTGTGTTGATTGAGACAATTGAGACTATATACCATAATTTACATAATTGAAGTCCTGATCAAGCACGATGTTATTAGCCGAGCGCAACAAGTAGAAATCAGAAGGTAAAATGTAGTGGTCTGGTTCGCTTAGCTCGGCAAATTCTAACTTGCATTTTTCAACAAACATTAATTTTATGATAGAGGATTGGAGAGCTTTAATTTACGTAAAGTCAGTAACAATAATAATGCAATATTGGTTGCCAATAAAAATGGCAGACAGTTCATCTGTTTTTAATTTGATTTACTATTAGTTGACAGGCCTTTTTAATCGCTAAAACTTCAGCCTTAAAAACCGTAGTTTCATTACGTTGCCTGAGGCAGTGGTACACATGATGCGAATAGCGTACACATGATGCTCCTCCCGTCTATCTATTAATATACCATTCATGAAAATTGATACATCGTAGCTTGCTTTAAAGTTTCTTCTCTTCCACTCATTCCTTGGCAGAAATATTTTATGAAAGATCGCTACAGAATAGTCAGTCACTTTGTGGAGCTTTTTCTAAGACGAGATTTGAAGGTGTGAGCTGAACTTTTATATTGATTACAATTAACTAGTGTATTAAATTTTTATATTGATTATGCAGGCATGTTAATAATTCCAACTTTACAGCTCGATATCGTGAAAACTATATGGGCTAAATAGTTGCGGAAAATGCAGAATAATTGACTTAACTAGACTCTGTTGACAAATGGGCGTGCTTAACATATCAGAATTGTGGACATGTTAAAAATTACACAGATTTGGTAACTCAATAAAGCACTGCAGCTCTGTTTTAGTGGAGTAAATTTAACCGCAAAATGAAAATGTAAGATCCGAATGTGCCCGACAGAATACGATCGAAATAATGTATGCGAAGAGGCCATAAAGTAAGACAGAGAATATTTCCTCCACAACCAATATTTTTATAGCAAATTTATATAGCAAATTTGTGTTTGGTTATTTCTTATTATAAGCAATAATTACTGTTCTTAAGAACAGTTGGTCGTGTTGATTGTTCTATTTTAAAATTTTTTTCGATAGCGCATTTGATAGTTTCGGTTTAGCCGCTTACACCATCTTTATAATTCCATAAACTTTATGGCTGGCGTTGAAGCAGTAAATATTTTATTTCAAAATTTTTATAGAGGATTCATCGAACTTAAACTCAAAATAATTTGTATTAGATATTAAGTTTCATCATCAATAATGGTCTGACACAAAAATGTTTAAGTTTTTATTTATACGACATTCACTTTAATCATTTTTGACCGCGGCAATGGTAGACCTTTACAAATTTATGCTTGTATTAAGTTGTGAAATTTTTTTGTGACCAAGTACCTTCTCTTGGGGCGAAATCTATTTTTGGTATTAAGCCAATATAAAATCGGAGTATCTTAACAACTCTGAGATATGAGTTTATACAAGACAATACTAAATTGCTTTATAAAAAGATATTCTCGATATATTTACCAAATATGGTAGTCGGATGAACATTTGTGGATAATAACTAACAAACAGAACATTAATACGGAAGTATGTTTGTATTAGTTATACTTCACGTTGGGGTGATCCCAATGATCTCACTTATACAGGGTTCATTTGGAATCCACAAGGTGTTAAGCGTCGTGGATAAGTTTCTCTAATTCAATATTTTCTAAATTCTTAAGAATTCTCTTGTGCTCTATTTTACATAAAATCTGTCAATTTAAAGTTTAACTTTTAACGACTAAAGTAATGTCAATGTCAATTTAATGAAATCAACTCTTTATATATCTTCAAGAGAAGTATGTTTCGGGTTATTTTCATAAATATAATTTAAAATTACTTTATTTACTATATATATTATTAAAAATAAGGTTAGAATTAGTAAATATGTTTGAAACCATCTTATCTCCTTTCCAATATTATGCATGTAAATCTTCATGTCACTCAAGCCAGAAAAAACTTTGTAGCAAATAAAATTTGTCACAAATTAAAACAAACAAAGAATTGTTTTTGTGAGTATCGAAACCTTCTTCAGACATAATTTTTAGCAGAATTCAAAAACAGAGTGAGTGAGTAGTGATCCAATACAAAAATCTTAAAAATCACTCATACGTCACGTACAAAATTTTAACCGCAAGCTAATTGCAAACAAATTATGCAGCGTTTAGCCACTTCAAAGAATGTTGACGCATAAATAATTTAATCTTAGTAAATTGGTTAATTAGCATTGCAAATAAGAAAATATTTTGACGTAAATTAGTTATATTAACATAATTCCAGTGTTGTGCGGCAGAATATTCAATATTTGCACAGGCAAAACGTAGGCATTAAATGGCCTACGTGGTCAATTAATAATTACGCTGAACCGAAAAGTATGCTAAGGTTTTCCTTTTGCAGCTGTGCGATGCCAAAAAAGGCAAGAAAAATCAGCTTTCGATGACGAGTTTTTGCTTACTGTTGTAAATTTATATCAAATGACACGTTCCAATAAATCCCGGCCAATAGTGTTTGCAGCATGTCTGTTTGCCAATCGCTTCAACATTTACTACAATATTTAAGCCTTTGACTGGTGAGTAAAGCAACCTTATTGATGACTTCAAGTTAACATAGAATACATATATTGTAAAATGTTAATTAATTATAATGTGAATGAATTATATAAATTATAATTAATTATAATTATAATAACATATTACCATAGGGCGGAAAATGTTAACATTATAAGGTTCCTATTCTTAAGATGAACTTCAGTAATAGAGAGCACAGATTATACTAAGTTTCTATTATTACTTATTATTACTTAAATTTTGTGTGATATTCAATGATATTTCCGATTTAACTAAAGAAAACTTCTCAGGAGAATATACATTTATCTCTTGTTAGTTTGCAGTTACGAAAAACAAAGCGATTATTTGTAATTTATTTTTTGAATATATATTTATGTAATCCTACGACATTAATATTTAATATAAAAGACTAACATTATTTAATTAATTTATTTATTTTTTGCTTAAAGCCGTCTTATAGGAAACCCAATCAAAATCTTGCCTGGAGAAATATTTCTGCGTAGCAATTACCTGGAGGCACTGTAAGTAATTAAAAATAACTGTATTTGCAGATATAAAGAAGAAGGTATTTTATTAAACACATAATAAATAAACGATCCTTGAAGTTTATTTAATTTTTTGATATAATGAAGATCGCTTTGAAATCCAGACTTAAAAATTATCAGTATTTTTAATAATTTTTTTCATCGTCTGGCTTCAAATATTTGTGTATAATTGGGGGAAATCATTGTTATATCCTGCTGTGAATGAGTTTTTATATTTAGATGAAACTTATATGGACTCTGTGTTATTATTTACTACAATAAACACATAGCACCACTGATACAGAGTTCAGCCCTACGCTAAATCCTTATGAATACCGTACAGTACGAAGATTTGTCTAGGGCCGTCCGACATACAGTGATGCCATACTATAGCTCACTATAGGTCTTATGACCTATACCTCCACTTCTTACGAAAAGCTCGCTCGAATGTATTTTGCTTTTAACTAAGTCTTCTGTCAAAAACAATAGACAAGGACAATAAATATATTCATAATGATTGGTTGAATAGTACTTGCATCTTTGCATTCGTCATTTATGATAACTATAAGACTTTTAACATCACTGGTGACATCTCTTCATCAAGAAGCGAAAATATAGCGTCTCTATGTTTGTTAATATCTATAACGTGATTTCAGAAAAAAAGAAATAGAAAAGTATGCAACAACACCATGCTAATATGTAAAATCTTTAATTCAAAAATCTTTAAATCTTTAAAAAATCCTTTTTGACTAGTAACTAATTGATAAAGTGGTCGATTTCTATTGTCAGTGTTTATTATTCTTAACTCAGATTAAAAAAAACCTAGTAGAAGTAAAAGATCGTTAATACATGGCTTGTTAGAATAAGGAAAATTTTGTCAAGTTAATCTGTTAGATATCCCTTAGATGATTTAAAGTCAACTATTTGACAAACTAATAACATATTAGCGACTTCGCTTGTCAGTATTTAAAAACTTTATCGAATGTCAATCCATTTCATTAGATTTAAACTCTATTACTGCTAGCTACTTGTTAAATATAAATTTAAATAAATAAATAAATATTTTTTTAACTAAAAACATTTGTGTTTTGTCTTTCATAGTTCGCTTAGCCATACTGCTCTTCAAATACGAAGCAACATCTTGCAACCCGTGAAACTATCATACCTAAATCTAACCGGCATACGCTTTGAAAGCATAGATTTTAAAGCTTTAAGCAACATGCCAAATCTGAAGTACATAATTTTCGATCGGTTTTATTTCTGTTCGATGATACCGAAAGTAAGAATGTGCAAACCAAAAACAGATGGAATATCTTCCTTTAAAGATTTACTCAGTAAGCCCATATTACGCTACTCAGCATGGATAATGGCCACCGTCACAATAAGCGGCAATATAATGGTACTTTGGGGTCGCTTCATATATCGTGATGAGAATATTGCAGTAACATTGGTCATACGAAATTTAGCATTTGCAGATATATTAATGGGATTTTATTTGTTGACAATTGGTGTGCAGGATATTCGCCATCGCAATGAATATTATAAGTGAGTGAGTTCGGCAACAAAACGAAAATAATATTATTAAAAAAAATTAGAGAAATGTTTTAGGTTTTATTAAACTTTTTATATCGCTTTAACAGAGTAGCACTTGATTGGATTACCTCCTGGCAGTGTGCAGCAGTCGGCACTCTGGCTGTCACGTCTTCTGAAGTATCGATGCTAATACTTGCTTTCATGTCTTTGGAACGTTTTCTTTTGATTGCTGACCCATTCCGCAGTCATCGTCGTATTAGTGTACGAAACATTATCGCTGCTTTGACATTGATTTGGATAATGGGTATAGGCATTGCAGTGGCACCTGTGGTACTCTGGCGCTCAAGTACAAAATTTTATGGCACATATTCGGGCACTTGTTTTCCACTGCACATACAGGAACCCTACCCACTTGGCTGGCAGTATTCAGCTTTTATGTTTTTGGGAGTAAATTTATTTCTACTGCTTATGATTGCACTGCTCTACACAGTGCTACTTATTTCCATTTGGCGCACTCGGAAGGCTACACCTCTTTCGTTCTTAGATTGCGAATTTGCAGTTCGTTTTTTCTTTATTGTACTGACGGACGCATTGTGTTGGGCGCCAATCATTATTTTTAAGATTTGGGTGTTTTTCAAATATAATATATCAGGTGAGTGGACATAATATTTATTACGCGCAATGTGTCAAGCTGTAGACAGCATTTGTCAAGTTAGTATTTAAACTTTCTTATTAGGTAGTTTATTTATTAATCTTGATGCAGTCAATTTAGTTAGACATTATAAATTGTGTTTATTGATTCAGATGACATCTATGCCTGGTTGGTTGTGTTTATTTTACCGCTCAATTCTGCCGTCAATCCACTGTTGTACACATTTACAACACCGAAGTATCGTAATCAAATTTTGTTGCGTGGCTGGAAGAAAATCACCGCACGTAGACGTCCATATCCATTAAGTGGCATGGCAACTACAATTGCCACTGCAACTGCTTCATCAAATCCAGGTATACAATTTTTTTCTCATTTAATTTTTAATTTCACTAACATTTTAATAATATTCACGTTTGCAAATATTTAATTTTATTGAATTGCAGATGAATCTTCTAGTAAAGCCATTCCCCTGGTGGGAAATCTTTAGATGCTCGCATATAAATAAGCAGAATTTACTAAGCAATTAATTGAGTAAACATCTATTATTTATCATCAATAATTTTAAAGTTATAAATATAAATTTATTTATTTATTGTTTTGTAATTGTTAAATGTATGTATGTAATATTTCGTGTAAAATTATTATAAAATATATATAAGAAATATTTCTCAATGTAAGTGTGTATCTCAAACTAAAGACATAAATGTGATATAATAATAAATGTTAATATGTTAAGTAAATTTAAAAAGAGTTTGAATTCGCACATACCGAAGAATAGACAAATAAGAAAATAATTTTATGTAAAAAGTATATGTAAAACAAGTGGTTTTTATAAAGTAACAGAATTATTCTAACAAAAGTCAAGGAAATCTTACAAAAATTATCATTTTTTTAAAACTAAAGTGAGGAGAGGTATTGAGTAGAGTTAAATCATGTTATTATTTTTATATCAAGTGGTAGCGAATAACGAAGATCGAATAAGTTGGTAACGAATAAGAGTTGTAGACAGTGACTCTGGCTACTTGCTAGATATACAAGAAAGAAGTATAATATTTTGACATCAAATTATGACCAAAAGAAACAATAAAGATTAAAAAAAAAAAAATAGCAAAAAACTTCATAGATGTACAGAACAATCTAAATATTAATCATATGTGGAATAACCTAAAAGAAACTCCAATTGTTTAAATGCAAGTATCAGACTCCACGTAGAACACCTATAGGAATTCTTAAAAAAAATAAACTCTAACATATATTTAAAATATTGTAGGAAAAAAATAAAACTGAAGAAGTAAGAGTGATTTGGAAATCTTGAAAAGAGGCTTGAAGCATCTCTCAAGATTCAGGATCTGGATGATCTGAACCCATCTGCTCAGAGACCAATGGTATCAAGCGGTGGGAACACCTCTCCGGTGATTGACACCCAGAGTCCTATGGACACAGGTGACCACGATGGCGGTGCGTCTAATGCTAATACCCAGAGCATGGTGAACTCAGGTGACGGCAACATAGAGACCAGGAAGAAAGCGGAATACTTCACCGGGGCTCAGAAAAGACGCATCAAGGCCATGATTAGGGATGGATTGGATTTGGAGACTGCGAAGCAGAAAGAGAGAGAGCGATACTCTCTCTACAAAGCTTCCTTGGCAGCAGAAGGAGAAAGTGACAGACCCAGTACCAGCAAAAGGTGCAGATCTAATAACACATCTCCCGAAGAAACACAACGCCCGCAGCCCAAAAAGCCAAAAGCCATTCAACACACATCTAGCTCTACCGGAAACCAGCTAAAACCGACTCCATCTTACAGGGATGTAGCCAATGCTTGCAAAGTGGCTATCGCCCATGAGAAATATCCGGAGGTGAATCTCACTGGTGACCAAATGGAGTTGATAAAATCGAAGCTCCTGGAAGAAATTGACAAACTTCCCAAGCACAATAGTGTCTACGGCTTCATCACCAGTGTTAACAGAGACGGATGGCTCTCATTAACATGCTGCAATGGTGAAACGAGGAACTGGCTGACCACTTGTGTCCCAAAACTCAAACCATTCCCGGATGCTATTCTCAAAGTGTTTCAGGGCGAAGAGATGCCCAAAACCTATGTGTGCATCACATTTATTCCCCCCTCTGCTGTGCTACCACCAGAAATTCTGATGTCCCGATTGGAAAAACAAAATGGTGGCATTTGCACATCATCGTGGAGAATTCTCAGGACTGAGAAAGATAAGAATGGTGGGGAAACCGTTACGATCTCAGTGGACGAAAAATCCAAAAATTGGATAGTCGGTCAGGCAGGAAAGCTGTATCTGAACTTCACACAAATTCACGTACGTGTGAAGGGAGAGCCAACTGGACCCAAGAAACTGACGACAAAAAGGCCATTTACGACAGAGAAACCCAGTGACGTCAAGCAACAGGTGCCTCCATCCAAAAGGCCGCTTTCAGGTGATAGACCCAGTACCTCAAAAGCACAGGCAGATAAGCCAAGTGAGACGGTTAAGGTCACACGGGATAGCACCCGAACTGAAGTCGGACCCAGCACCTCAAAACAGCAGGGTGGCACACCGGTATCTAGCATAAAGGACCAGAAGCAAGGGCCAAAGAAACCAGCTTCAAGATCCCCTCGACAGGAAGCACCCACTCATGGGACAAAATTGCCCAAGTGGATGCGGAACGGTAAAGGACGATACCAATAAAATGATGAGGTGCCTGCAGGTTAATCTTCAACACGCCAAAGCTGCTACGGCGGTGTTGACACAGCGACTTCTATCTGAAAAGATTGACCTAGCCTTTATCCAGGAGCCATATGTATATGAGAACCAGATAAAAGGAATAAAAGGTAAGCTACTGTACGATCATGCCAGCCATGGTCGACCTCGTGCTTGTATTGTGGTAAGAGATGACATTAATACTTTCATTATTTCACAGCACACCAACAAGGACCAGGTAGCAGCTATAATTTCTGTGGACACCCCAGTAAGTAACACAGAGCTCATTGTCTGCTCATCTTACCTACCTGGAGACTCCCAAGACCTAGACTTCCTATCACTGAAAGGACTAGTAGACTACAGTGTTAAAAGCAAGAGGCAACTCATCGTTGGAAGTGACGCTAATGCACACCACACGATCTGGGGTAGCACCGATATCAATAAAAGAGGTGAGTGTCTATTTGAATTTATAACTGGTAACAACCTAAATATGTTGAATACGGGCAATAAGCCCACTTTTATAAACAGAATCAGGGAAGAGGTATTAGACATCACCCTAGCTACACAATTTATAAAACATTTTATCAAAAACTGGAATGTTTCAGCAGAAACATCCATGTCTGATCATCGTCAGATAAGATTTGAAATTGATCTAAATATGAAAGTAAGGGACCCGTATAGGGTGCCAAGGGCCACAGAATGGGATCTTTATACTGACGAACTCAAGGCCAATCTAGGCAGTAATAAACATACGATAAACAACATTCATGATTTAGAAATAGCTGATGCTGCCTTAAACACAACTATTATAAATGCCTACCATGAGGTCTGTCCGGTGAAAAATAAGACCGGCAACAGAAGTGCACCATGGTGGAATAAAACGTTAGCCAAGCTAAAAGTCGAATCCCGAAGACTCTTCAACAAGGCAAAAACCAACGGTGAATGGGACAATTATAAAAATGCTCTCACCGCCTACAATAAAGAAATTAGAAGGGCAAAAAGAGAATCATGGAGAGGCTTTTGCTCAGAGATTCAAAAGTGAAGCAGTAGCGCAAAAATCCAAAGGGTCATCTCGAAAAGCCACACTAATCCCATTCCCAATCCCAAGCCAACGACCTGATGGTCTTTATACCAATGACTGCAAAGAGTCACTTATACTTCTAACAGAAGTACACTTTCCGGGATCTACAATTTACGACCAATCAATCTCCCAGCTTAGTTCCCTGGTGGCCAAAAGGCCCAGAAACAATGACAGGAAGACTGCTCGTAAAATCTTCACTGAAGATAAAATTAAATGGGCGATCAACTCATTTTCTCCTTTCAAAGCCCCTGGAGCAGACGGAATATTTCCAGCACTCCTACAAAAGGGACTAACTCACCTTATGCCCTACCTCATTAATATCTTTAGAGCTGGGCTGGCGATGGGAATCATTCCCACTAATTGGAAGGAAGCAATTGTCAAATACATACCTAAAGGAGGAGGTAAACCTAGCGAACTTCCTAAATCCCATAGGCCTATAAGTTTGACTACATTTCTTTTAAAAACTATGGAGAAGATAGTGGAAAGGCATATAAGGGAAGAGTATTTATCTATAAATCCACTCCACGGCAACCAGTACGCCTACCAACAAACTAAATCCACCACACATGCATTACTCAGTCTTACTAATAAAATACAGGAGTCTGTAGATTGCAAAGAATTTGCGGTGGGATGCTTTCTTGATATTGAGGGAGCGTTTGACAATACTGATCACTCACATATCGTAAGATGCCTCCATGACAGAGGAGTAGATGATACGACACGCACATGGATAAGCAATGTACTAAGAAATAGAATAAATCCATTCTCGGCAATGCCGAAATAAAAGCACATACTCTAAGACGATGCCCACAAGGGGGTGTATTATCCCCACTCCTGTGGTCAATTGCAGTGGACGAGCTCTTGCATGGACTCAGTGTCAAACATTTCGAGGCACAAGGCTATGCTGACGATATAGTCATACTTGTCAGGGGTAAATATGAAGACATGATCCCATATTGACTTCAGCAAGCCCTGAACATCGTAAGTAGATGGTGCAATGAAGTAGGATTAAATGTAAATCCTAAGAAAACAAGTCTGGTAGTCTTCACAAGGAAAAGGAAAAGAGTACTTTCCAATTACCCATTCCTGAATGGAGAAAAGCTATCAGCCGTTACCCAAGTAAAATACCTGGGAATGATTCTGGATGAGAAGTTGACGTGCAATGCTCATGTAGACAATGTTATACGAAGAGCCAGAGAGGCATTATGGACCAGCAGAAACCTCATTGGTAAGCACTGGGGCTTTAATCCAAAACTCAGCCTTTGGATGTACACATCTATTGCCAGACCAATTGTAACTTATGGATCAGCTATCTGGTACAAAAAAGCACAACAGAAGACTGTTATAGATAAACTTCGTAAGCTGCAGATATTAGCCTGCATAATGACAAGTGGAGCGATGAGAACTACCCCGACAGCAGCCCTAGAGTTTGCATTGGAGCTCCCCCCACTTCACCTACTAGTCAAAAAGGAAGCAATGATTTTTATGGCCAAGCTACAGTTGACTAACAATCAATCAACAAGACTACTCGATAACTCCCTGTTAGGTAGGGAAATGCAAAGAGAGGAAGGACTAAATATCACCATATCTGACATTTGCTTACCTAAATTCAACTTTCACCAAAAGTTTCTAATACTAATACCAGACAGAAATGAATGGGAACGGAACATACCTCCATTCGCTGGAGACTACCATCTGTGGTACACGAATGGCTCCAAAACGATGGAAGGAGTGGGGGCGGGA